ATTGTCCTAATGGCTCCTGTGTGAGCACCAACAGATAGGCTTAAGTATTTCAAGCTTTGGCTTTAATCTCTCTGTGGTGTTGTCATGGAGGACCTAGCTTAGGGAAGCAGGTGTCAGAACCATTCAAGAATGAAGTCCAGACATGTCAGCTTTCCCTCCCTGATTGCCTTAAGGGAAGTGATCTGTGATGCCTTTGTTCATGCCTGTCCATTCAGCAGATGGGGGCTAGCTGCTAATGTTAAGCCATGTCATTAGGCTTTTGACACTCTTTCCATTTTATCATTGCACTATAAAATGCATTTCATTATATCATGCATATGATCACAGAATCAAAGCGGTATACATTGCACTTAGATAATTGATTTGATTGGCAAAGACTTCATGTTAGTCGCTTTGGAGCTGTCATATAATAGAAATTTAATTGACCATTTTAACAAAACAAAGTAAGTAATAAATGTAGTATTTTCACTGATTAAATAAGTACTTATTCATAAGCTCTTAACTGAGAGGCAAGGCCCTCTCATTTATCAACAGATTTGATGGAATGCTTCTTTGTGTACTATAAGTTTATATAAAGACTGTTAGGTTTTTAAAAAGAGCCGAGTAAGAACAGCACAATGAACATGGTATTCAGGTAAAGAGTAGGTTTATTCATCGTTCTGGCTGGCACCAGGCCATGTTGGCCCTCCACTTGGCGGGGAAAGGCCTGGGAAAGAGAGAACTGGGAGAGAGCTGGGAAAGAGCTGGGAAAGAGAGAGAGCTGGGAAAAAGAGCATCTGAGCCTAGGCTAGGCCTTATGTAGGGTATGGGCAGAGAAAGGTGTGGCCACATCAAATTCAGATGTGACTTCAGCGGATGCAGATGTGACCTCTTCCAGGTGTGCCAGTTGCCTAGGTAACTCAGGACTGGGTGGAGACTTTGCGAGGAGGGTGGAGTCTGCTCGCCATCCAGGAGCGGACCTTACATTCCAGCCTTTTAATAATCATGAAATAGGGCTCGGATTCTCTCTGGCTACTTCCTGCTGACAAGGGGCATTGACATTAGGGGTAGGTAAAAGGCTGGAATTTGGTCCCCTCTCAGAGAAGGCAGCGAGTAGCAGCTGCCCCTTGGTGGCGTGACTCCTTAGATGAAGTCTTGAGAAGTCTCATGAGGCATTGAGGGGCTGGAAAAAAATACTAGAGAGCAAATAAATGGCAAGAAGAAGGACTTGGGGCTGAAAATGTTGGTAGAAATGTCCCTAGCTACTTCTGACATCGGGCGACTAGGTAGAGAAGTCAGGTGACAAAGGCAAGAATATAAATTCCTGTTCAGTTAATAGTTAATAGACATTGGATGGGCAGGCTTCTTACTTCTACTGACCTCCCGGCTCTGGTTAATTTTGAAAGGGCAGGCACAAAGTTGCTGATGTGATATCATCTCCTTTTACTCCTCTCCATTGTCCCTTGCTCCCCAGACTGGCTAAGTCTAGGTGCTCGGTGCTGGGATGGCTTGTCCCAGTTGGTATTCAAGGAGGATTGAACTCAAGGCCTGGGCAATGTCCCTGAGCACTTCTGCTCAAGGCTAGCACTCTACATCTTTGAGTTATAGTACCTCTTGCAGTGTTTGCTGGTTAGAGATAAGAGTCTTGAGCCATGCTTCCAGCCTGGCTCTTTGCAGGTTAGTTGGGAGATGGAGTCTTAGGGATTTTTCAGCCTGGGCTGGCTTTGAACTGAAATCTTTGTCACAAAAGCCCTTTATTATTTCCAATTAAAGTAACAAGGAGATCAATAGAATAAATAGAGTTTACCTGGTTCTTATCAAGAATTGACCAACAAATATTCTGCAATGATAAAACTTGTTAGATGTGATGAGAATTTTAGCACAGATATGCCCAGTATTTTAGAACCATGTAGTCAGTAGTAGAATACACAACACAAAACAAAAAAGGCAAAACTCAAAACCTAAAAATTTGACAACAATGTTTAGACGTCTTTGCTAACAAAGCACATCAGATGGTTGGGCCTCAGTTACCAGGGCCTATGAGAAGAACAACTTGTTAGCAAGGCACCTTAGAACAGATGGATGGAGTAGTAAGCTTGGTGGAAGGTTAAGAGTCAGATGAGACCCAACCCTTAACCCACTATGTGGCCAAGATGTTGAACTCAAGATGGCGAATTTCTGAAAAAACGGAAAGAAATACTGAACAAATAGATCAAGCCTACATTGGCTAGCCTTTGAGAGGGAACCTAGAGGTGGGTCCCTGGGCCCAGCCTGCGTCGCACTCTTCAGGGCACAAGTCAAAATGTAGAAGAGAAAGGGAGAGATAGAGAAAGTTGGACATGACTGGCAGAGAGAGAGCAAAGAGAACCTGAAAGTAAACAGACTTCTGGCCATTTACCATTGCAGTGGCAAAAATTGTCTACATCTGAGAATGGCATAAAATTGAGGCGCCCTGGCTTTCCAGGGAGCGCAGGAGGCATTTCAAAGGGGTTTCACCACTCGGGTGTGACTCGTAGCACCCCATTAGATGTGTAGGAGAGTCAGTCTGGTGAGTGAAGGAGAGCTGACCAGGCAGAAGCGGCGTCTCGACTTCCCCCAGAGCCCTCTAGAGAGAAATGGCCAAGTCCCCAAACCAAGCATCCTCGGCTTCAGAGGTGACCGGCCTTTCAGCTAAAGGCTGTAGGAGCTTTCTGGTGTGGTGCCACGTCTGGACAGAGACTTGAGCAACAGAGAATTGTAGAGAGTAGTTTTACTCACTAGAGTAGAGAAGTGGTGTGGACGTGGATGTGAAGGCAGCAATGGTATCGATGCGCTGTGTCCACAGCAGACAGACTGGTTCGCAAAAGGCCGTCAGAACTGTGGGTATTCCTCAGAGCAAAAGAGGGAAAAACAAACAACAACAACAAAAAAAAAAAAACAGAGGAATCCCACCTATCCTGACTTTAAGCCCTTCCTGGGTTTCAGTTTCGGCACCATTTATGTTAGGTTTTTAAAAGAGGTAGCTGAGTAAGAACAGCACCACACACGTGGTATTGAGATAAGGGGTAGGTTTATTCAGTAGATCTACTGGGACCAGGCAAGGTTGGCACTCCACGTAGCTGGCAAAAGACCTGGGGAAGAGAGCTGGGAAAGAGAAAGAGCTGGGAAAAAAAGCTGGGAGAGAGCTTGGATAGAGCTGGGAAAGAGAGCGTTGGGCCTGGGCTAGGCTTTATCCAGGGTATGGGCGGAGAAAGGTGTGGCCACATCAAATTCAGATGTGACCTCAGCAGGTGCAGTTGTGACCTGGTGTGCCAGTTGCCAAGGTAACGCAGATACTGGGTGGAGACTTTGCGAGGAGGGTGGAGTCTGCTCGCCATCCAGGAGTGGACCTTACAAAGACTAATGAACATTTTTGCTGCAGAGGAGTTGACAATTTATTTGAAGAAATGAGCATATCCATACATAATTAATAAGATGATAGATAGTATATTCCTATTTAAGATAGTTGAAGAAATTATTTGGATGATCAATGGATGATGTTTCTGTTTTAGGGACTAGGAAGGCTTCAAGTAAACATAAAACTTTGAGATACACCTATAAGAATGAATTAAATTCCAGCTGGAAACAGCAAGCTGAGTTCACAAGGTGAAACCTGCTCTTAAGATTACATTTGAATGTAGTAGATAGTACAAAGTCCTTGCACTTTTTTGATCAGTAAAGATCTGTGCTCAGAATTAGGTGCTGTGGATTCTGAGAGGGTTGTAGTGAATGAATTTCAAGATCACCTTTTGAGCACCTTTATTTTTCAGATAAGATAACAGAATCCCTGTGATTCATCAAATTAATGGCAGAGCCAGAATTAAACCTCAAGTAGTGTCTCTATACAGTTTTGTTTTGTTTTGTAGTCAGGATCAGGACAATGATCTGCAGAGTATGTAGGTAAATGATTTGAATATCAATGGAATTTAAGCATCTTCAGTAACAGTCTGTAGTGATTCATGTGGGGCCCTTGAAGTCATGGGAACCTTATTTTTTGATTGAAGATAGAAAGTAATTCATTTTGCCTACCTTGACATATATTAAAAAAGGCAGAAAGGCAGATCTGATAAGCTTAAAATATGGAAGACTATAATCAATAGTTAATTCAAGTACCATTTAAAAACTTCGATTACAAGTACCTCCATGTATCATTTATATTATTACTTGAGAAACAGAAACTTAAATATTCTAAGTAAAAAGTATATAAATGAAGCCCAATAGTTACTATCAAATGCCAAGATAGATTTGTTCTCACCCATAATAACTGATTGTTCTCTCTTGGTGAGAAAGAAAAGATGGTATGACCTGAGCTTAAGAGTTTCTAGGGAGAGTAAAGTTGGGCTCTGGTGGCTCATACCTATAATCCTAGCTACTCAGGAGGCAGAGATCTGAGGATAATGGTTCAAAGCTTGCCAATACAGGAAAATCCATTAGACTCTAATCTCCAATTAGCTATCAAAAAGCCTAAAGTGAAGGTGTGGTTCAAGTGGTAGAGTGCCAGACTTGATTGGGAAAAGCCAATCAAGAGTGTGAGGCCCTGAGTTCAAGCCCCAGTACTGACACACACACATACATACATACATACATACATACATGCATAAAACCAAGACTTTCTAAGGAGAGCTGGCTGTTCATGGCATTGCTGTGTTGTCAAGAATGGAGCTATGCTGGCATCTCAGTGTTCCTCCCCCTCTCCTTCTGCAGAAACCAAAGTTACTCTTTTACCAATCTTTTCATGTTGATGAGAATGATATTTGAGCTCTCTAGCACGATCTGTTTATTAGATTCAAAGTTACTATCTGTTTTAAACTTGAATTATTAAAACTTTATGAGAACATCAGCTGGACCCTGGTGGCTCTCACCTGTAATCCTAGCTACTCAGAAGAGATCTGAGGATCACAGTTCAAAGCCAGCCAGGGCAGGAAAGTCCATAAGACTCTTGTCTCCAATTAACCACAAGAAAACTGGAAGTGGCACTGTGGCTCAAGTGGTAGGGCACTCACCTTGAGCTGAAGCACTGAGGGACAGCACCCAGGCCCCAGAGTTCAAGCCCCAGGACCGACGACATACAGAGGCCAAAGACTCAACATTCTTCCTCTGTCAAAAGAAAACATAGAAATATTTATTGTTATATTAAAAGGAACTTATTCTTTTTACAAGCTTTTGCAGTTTTTTATGGTAGCATGAACATCAATTGTTGTAATTAAATTGATGATGAAGTCTTAGGAAGTGAAAAGACAAGAAGAGGAAGAAGGAACAGAAGCCTAGCTCTCTCCTGCTGGCTTTTGATTTTCTGTGAATTCATTCTAACACCACTATAGTTCCTTTGTCTGTACTTTCCATTTGATATTAATTTGTTTCCACCTTTTTCTTGCAGTTTCACAAAAATCTTGATTGTAATACTTTAATTGCTGTTTAATTAAGGAAGCATACTTTGAGGAATCTATTTTATCTAATAGGTTATTTTTAGTGCTAGGATTGAACCCAAGGCCTTGTGCGTACTAGGCAAGCACATTCCCAGCCTGAGAAGAGTAATTTTTTTTTGAAGGACGAAGATGCTTTATCTAATGTTCACTGTGTGTTTCTCTATAAGTTGCTGAGTAGTTTCTTTTAACGTGTGATTTTTAAATATTTCTCAACTAAAACAAGGTTCTAAACCCTTTTTCTTAAATGGATACGTCGGCAGTTGACATGCAGCATTGAGAACATTCTGTTTTATATTGCTGTTGTGGCTTAGTGTACTCCTCCTTGTTACTGCTTGAAGCATTGAGGAGATAAATCACACTTCATAATTAATGGAGTCTGCTGGTCTGGACCATGCTGGAGATGCTCTGCAATAAGGTTACTATTGATCCCTACCTTCTTTGTGGCTTCTTTTATCACTCTCTTGCTTCAGAACTTGACATTAAAGGCTTCTTTCAATTGGAGGGGTCAACTTTACCAACTTTTCTAACTGTGGCAAAAGGTCAAATGGAATATTATACTTTGGGGTAGGACTATCTAAGAAAGATGGCGAGAGGAGGGGAGAGAGTGCATCCTACAAAGATGAGACACTTAAATTCATGGCTAGAGACATTCAGTACTTGGTATTTCTTTCTGGAATCATCAAAACTATACCCCTCAGCCACCCCAGAATGGTTCCATTTGTCAAGGGTAAGAAAAAGACAGGGTTTAGGTGTTATAATGTGCACCTGACCCACCAGTGGCTGTGAAACAACTTGTGCCCCCTAAACTAACTACTTTCAACATTACAAAACTGATCTACCAGATGGATTTTCCAAGAGCAAAAACAGCATTTACTAGAGCTTTTGTAAAGTCTGTTCTAACTTAATTAGAGCATTTTAACTTCTGAACCATGAGAATATTACTCTCACAGTAAACTCAGTGGGTGGACAATATGATGTATCGAGTTAAGTTTAACTCGACAAGCTTAATTACTAATTAGCTTAAAAAACACATGTTAAGTAGTTTGAAACATTTCCCTACCACACTTGAATTAGCCATATCGTCAGGGTATAAGTTCCATTTATGGGGGTTTTATGTAGGAGCCCCTTCATCTACTTTCAGAAACCCTTAATTCAAGTATTTTCTTTTAAATCAGTACATACCTAGTTTTTCTGTATAACAAGGTCAATGGGAGTTATACCATCATATATATTATTGTATGTGACATGAAATAACTTTAGCTTACTTAAAAAAAAACAAAATATCTTTTGAACTAAATGTAGCCAGGTTTCATAGTCACTGATTTTTAGTTGGTTGATACAGCTATGGCCTGTTTGTTGTTGCCCAAAAGAATTCTAGGTGCTGACCCAGTCGAAAGAGAATATGCTCATTGCCTAATCCTCCTTGAATGCACAGAGCAGGGACCCATAAATTGCTATGGTTGGGAACACAAGTAATGATGCCAAACCCAGAGCAGGAAAGCCAATAGGAAGTAACAGTCACTCTGATTCTTCATAATGCCCGTGAGACTAGCATGCTGTGTCAGTTGAAAATGGTGACAGCCCAATCTAGTTTCATGATATAACCTAGTAACTCCTTGTATATTTACTGATATTTTGTGCTGCTTGATAATGAGGCACTAAAAATGAGTAAGTCAAAGAGTTAAGTTTAAGGCCAGATGCTGGTGGCTCACGCCTGTAATCTTAGCTACTCCAGAGGCTGAGATCTGAGGATTATGGTTTAAAGCTAGCCTGGGCAATAAATTCTATGAGCCTTTCATCTCTAATTAACTAGCAAAAAGTTAGAAGTGACTGGATGCTGGTGACTCAAACCTGCAATCCTAGCTACTCAGAAGGCTGAGATCTAAGGCCCAGTGCAAAGCCAGCCTGGGCAGGAAAGCCCGTGAGATTCTTATCTCCAGTAAACTACTCAGAAAAAAACAGAGTGGCTTTGTGCCTCAAGTGGTACAGCACTAGCCCTAGTAAACGAAGCTGAGGCACAGCACCTAGGCCCTGAGTTCAAGCCCCAGAACTAGCACAAAAAAAAGTGGAGGTGTGGCTGAAGTGGTAGAGTGTCAGCTTCAGTGAAAAAGCCTTCCGTTTTTCTTAGCCACATCAGACATTTCTTGGGGTGGGGTGATGAAGGGCTGGGTAGAGAAAGGGGAACTGGGTGGAGTCCATAAAGGACTGTGCAGTGTGTGTGTGTGTGTGTGTGTGTGTGTGTGTGTGTGTGTGTGTGTGTGTGTGTGTGTGTGTGTGTGTGTGTGTGTGTGTGTGTGCATGCATGTGTGTGTGTGTGTGAGAAAACCCCTCATTGCCCTTCACTGCCCTTCCAGGAGGGAGGAGGGCTTCTCTCCAGTGATTATTTCCAGGCTTGCTGATCAGGCTCAGAAGAGTGATCTGGTTAAGGAGGTGAATGGAGAGTACAGCAGGTCAGGCAGAGAGCAATCTAGTGAAGCCCTCTTCCACCAGGAGGATTGATATGGTTAGTCAGACCGTTTTCCTCTCAGCTTTTGAAGAACCTCTTCCCTCCCCCAGTCTGAGCTCCAGAATGGCAGGCCCCATATGCATCCTGATTACCACTGTTGAAATTACATGGCAGAATGTGGCATGCAAAATGAGCATGTGATAAATGTGTCTGTCCTGGGCCATGTATCTTCAGACTTAGTAAAGCCACCCTGAGCTGGGCAAGAGCCCTCATGTGTGTGCACTGTTTGGGGATTTTCTAAGCATGCTCATAAGTGGGTTATTACATGTGCTAATTGTCAGAGATGTGGTTTGCAATGATTTTAGCACGTGGACTTGGGGTGCCCCAGCACTGACCCTGGTGGGTAAGACATACTGCTTCTCAGGGAGAGTTTGAGTTTATCCTCATCCCACCTGTCCCTGGGAGTGACTCCCAGGAAGCAGTAGCTCTTCCCTGGTGTGTCTGCAGGGATACATCTTTGTAAGTCCAAGAGTAAACTCACACATGACCCAGGAAGATATATTCATGGGGCAAACGGTGTGCTGCACCAGATTGTCTTTATTGAAGGACATGAAATATGACTAGAAATTAGAGGATGAAAGGGAAATTTCCATGCCCCAGGACAGAGATAGATGGTTTGTTTGGCTTGTTTTTGTTGCAGGGAGAGGTGTTAGCAAAGAATATGAGCCCTGATAATGAGGCCTCTGCTCTAGGGCTTCCTTCTGAGGCCTGGCAAGTCCCCTTCTTTTTCTATAAAATGGGTCTGGAATCACCACCTCAGTGGACTGTCAGTTTATGTATACAGGGCATAGTGCCTGCTCAGGAAATGGTAGTCATAATCATGGCATTATTGGTTTTCCAAATACATGTGGAGCTCTTGAAGCTTTAAGATGTCTACATGTGCATATTCGACATCAATCTGGAGCAGTCAGGTTGCATTTTACTGTATGGGGAAAGCATGGTGACTCTATTTCACAAAGGTTAAGTTCACAGTTCTTCCCACCAGCTTGCTAGACCAGCAGTCTCTGCTCTCTAAAGGGAAGGTATTGGCACCTGTGACTGCCTGTAGTCAGTCCAGGAGGAGAACCTGAGTTTATGCAGGTGTAGTCTTCTGTTCAAGACAATTGTGAACATTCTGCCATGCTTTTAAGTGCTGTTTTTCATTACAGCCAACTCCCAGTTGTTTCTTCTCTTAACTAACATCTATACTTTGGTTATCACAGACCTGAAATTAGTGCTACTTTACAGTAAACTATAATTGAATTACTTTCTGTTAATTAGGAGTTTCTAAATCACCTTGATCCCCTCTAGAGAAAAGCCTTGATAGAAATAGGCAGCAGTAACAGTGGAACTGTGTTTAATTCAACTTGTAGCTTTTGAAATATAATTAATTGGATAATAACAGTTTAAAGGAGCACCTCAGAACTCTAAATGGTCCTTAGTGACTCAAAAGAGTTAACAATGCTTGAAAGAAATGTACTCGTTATCTTGCCGGTGTAATTGTAACTCCTCTGTATGGTATTCTCACAATAAAAAACAAAAAAAGAGTTAACGTGGCATCCAGAAGTTCCCGAGTACTCTCCCTCTCCAGAAGTGGCTTTGTACTCTGAATAATTGGGTTTAACCAACTCAAGTTCCTCTTCCTTCTTGCAGGAATGAGTCAGGTCTGGTTTCGAACCTTTCACACCAGTTCTTTGGAGACACTACTTTCCATTTAAGATGAAGCCTACACTCACTGTCTCTAAAAATCCAAGACTGAGAGAGAGACCATGGGTCCTAAGACACCTTTCTCTTTCTCAGGCATGTACTGGAAGCAGAACCCTTGTGGGGACTCCATTCTCACAGGTCTGGGCCTGGCTAGCAACAGGCACTGTGTACAGTTCCTTCCATGTTGCTCAGTCCCCCTATGCACCCAAATCCCTTCCTCTTCTTCTGAACATGAAGTATAAGACAGCAGTGTGCATTTAACATGTGTGCTGCTTAGAATAGTGTAAGGATAGCATGCAAACCCATTTCTCTAGTTAAGAATAGAAGTGTTTGGAGTGTTGTGCAACTTATGAGATGACAGGCTCAGGAGAGGATGAGGTTTGTGTGTTCCCAACGTTTTGGAGAACATGGTGTCAGACAGTCCTCATGTTCTATAGACCATTGCCTGTGAAAATATTGCATAAGGATCCCAGTCATGTACACATGATATACCACACAGCAAGTTCTTCCCCAGCAAGACAGCTGGTCACCTAAGGTTAGTCATATTATAGAGGAAGAAGAGAATTGTTGCAATTTAAGTGCCAAGAGTTTGCTATATAGATGTTCTCCGTACAGTAAAGCACAGTGTGATAAGTCACTACACGGACAGTTAGAAACTGTTCAGACTTCAACATTTTTTGTTTCCCCTGTGAGTATCATGTTGCATTGGGACAGAAACAGTACAAGATCTTATCTGAAATTCTTTCCATATTTTTGAAATTCTGTTTATTCTCTGAAATAAGATTAAACAACTTATATTTCTTAGTGTTTTGGTTAAAACTAAACTAAAATTTGAAATCCAGAGTACTTTTAAGTTGATCAGCAATTTATAGTAGGATAGACATCTGAAGTCTGAACACTGCCTTCGTCACTAATCTTGTGGTGCAGTGGGAAGCACTGGTTTTAAAAGAAACCCTTTCAGGTTTCTCTAGCTATTTTTGCACTGTGAAGTTTTGTCAGACCCTGGCCTATTTCAGTATGTTAATTCTGTTCATCACCTTTATAATAGCAATAAAAATATTTAAGAAAGAAGAAGGGAAAAAAGACTTCAAATAATGCCAAACTCCACATAGGTTAGAAGTAGGAGTAAATTCCTTTCAAATCAAAGTTTACTCAAGACTTTAGAGTTCATCCAGTTGTTTATATAAAATAAAAACTTCTCATCATATTAACAATCTAGTTGTTGGTAAGATAGCTCACTACGGTACATTCACTATTTTGAGTTCCCTGAGCTCTCCTCTTATGATTTATGTCTTTCTATACATGTATCATTTGTGTTCTTTCCCCTTATTTCTGTTTATTTCTCCTTATTTCTCTTCTCACCTCCCTCCCCAACAAATGGGAATGGCTAAGGACTTCTGGTGGCTAACCCTAGAAGTGCCTCTCAGAGAGACCCACAGTAGAAGCACTGGGTGTCCCGGCAGCTGGAGGAAGATGGGAATTTAGGGCAATAAGTCAGTTGTTTTGGCTGTGTGATAACATTTATTTTCATGGATGAATTCAAATGGCTGTTTGGGTAAGGAGAGCCTATGTTACATTGTGAATAACAAACGTAAGTCTTTATCTCATATTTATGTGGTGACATACTTCAGAGATTGCCCTTGAAGTTTCATCTGTAAAACACAGCCCCTTCTAGGTTTATGAACAGCTACACATTAATGTAGTGAGAAGTGACTGAGTCAATGATTGGGGAGAAGAAGTTTTTTTCAGTATGAAAATTAAAGTATATAAGATGAGATGGTGCTGCTTTACAGTATTCTATCTGAAATGTGTTGCGTAAGAGCCTCTGGTTATGTCCGTGTTAAGATGAGATGAACGGTATGTAGCAGGAGAGCCACACTGACCCCTGACAGCCACCCTGCTCTCACATGAAAAGATGCTGGGTTACTCCTAATCCACTCCAGATTTATGTAGCGTTTGGCATCTGTTGTCTAGCAAGAAGTAACTGTTAAAATAGTCGATCCAGTGTTGAGGCTTGTATCAAGTCCAAGCTCTGTCTGAATATGATAGAAGCTGAGAGTCCAACTTAAACTTTATAATAAAGTTGGGGAATTTTGTAAAAAAAAAAAATCAAGAAGGTTTTGAAATATTCTCCCCTCCCCTACCCCTACCCCCACCGTCAGTGCTGGGGCTGGGATTATACTTGCTTTGAACATGGAAATACTGTAAAATGCAGTTGATACCATAGGGACACTTTGAGCATAACGCAGATTTCACTTTTTGTGGACAATCTTGTCTATGAAGTAGAGGAACCACAAACCTAGGCCTTGGTGGACTGAACACATGTGCATGTGCACATGCGCGTGCGCACACACATGCACGCACACACACACACACACACACACACCTTCAAGTGTCTCTCAGTTACCTTGGTGCACCGAGGCTGTCAGGAACTCTACTATCCATGCATATCTGCCTTCTCAACTTCCTGTTAGATTTCACAGAACCCTTCGAGCCACCTCTCAGGACCTCACAAGCACAAGCTGCAGCCTCCCAGCACTCACTTTCACAGTGAACTTCAGGCTCCTCGGCAAAAGGTGCCACATTTCCTATCGTGTAACCATCTAACATGAAGAAATGTGCTGTTGCTTTTATTTGTTCCTGTCACTTTGTAATTTTGCAATGTTGTGTCTTTGTTTCCCATAAGCCCCGTGCTTTCCACTTTGGAACATCTTAATGCATTTGTTGCATTATTACAGAACTGCTGAATCTGCAGTTATATCTCCAGAGTTACCAAGATCACCAAATGACCAGATGTACTATCGACCTCCCTCTACCCTTGCAGAAGTTCCCCACATGAGCTCCTGTGAACATTCAGCATCCTTGCTCCTCCGAGGAGTCCCTGACCACTCCTCTGGCTCAGGTCTCCAGTACTTTGTCAGTGATTCTGACCTTTAAAATTCCTCCTGCAGAAATACAGATTTGCAGCTCAGCCAATGCTGCTATGCAGAAAATCCCTCAATTTCCAAATGTTAGAACCAAGCTTTTCATAATTTCGGTTGCTGCGGAGATTCTCACAAGATTTTCTTTGCTGTTATAACCACTAGCTCAGTTCAGCGAAAGTGGAAGTCCACACATCCTAAGTGAGTTTACATGTTTCCAAGTGCTCTGCCACTATAGGCTATGTTAGAACCTCTTGTACTCCAGCCTGAGGTGGATATTTGCCCTGTCCGTTATTTTCGACTCTCCCGTGTCCAGTAAACCAGCCCTAGACTTTGTCCTTCCTACATAAACCTCCTTTCAACCCTCCCTTCCCAGCAAGCCCTCGAAGGGGTCCCACCTGCCTCCTGTCCTTTCTAGCTTCCTGTCCCCCTTCCATGCTTCTTGAGCCTTATGATTTCTTTTGTATTAATCAGTGGTGACACTAAAATCCACTTTGATCTTAGCACATTTCTGCTTATAGTTGTCAGGGGTTTATGATGCAGCTCAAACTCTACAGTGGGGAAGGAGTTCTTCATTTGATCCAGTCTGGCTCTTTACTCTTACTCTGTCCAATTTCAATGAGGATTGAAACACTGAAAGCTGAAGGACATTTTGCACTGTTTAAATCCTGTCCTTGTATGTGTGTACAACCCACATTTGCTCATCTTCCTATTTGTTACCAGGCCAGGCAAAACTTCAGGATCTTTCCATGATTTTACATAAGTTCATTTCCCAATAATTTCCTATAATTTGCATAGTAAAAATGGTAGCAGAAAAGTTTCATGAGGGAAACCAGAGCCAGTTGCTCTGGAAAGTGTTTTGAAAGTGTTTTCACAGCCCCTTGCTGGAAGAGATGATAACCACAGCCTTGGCAGATCGCTGGCTGTCTGCCCTCCCCCATGTAGCCCCACGGGTAGAGACCCCATGGGGATAGAGTGCAGAGCTAGGTTTCATTGCAGAGACTCCCTCCCCACACACATACAAAGTAATAAGCCTTTTACACCCAGCTCATGTATATGACTTTTATAATGCGTTCAAGTATTAGAAGCTATATTGTTTTAACAATAATTTATAAATGTGCTGCTTCCATTAGTTCAAATTTGTGCCGTGTGGCTGCACTTTCGCTTGAGTGAGGGAAAAATATTACCTCTGAATTTTAGCTTAGAAGTCCCAGATGCCAGGATTTCTGAATTTGATTCTAAAACCCTCCAGCCATACAGGAATAAATATTACTGTACAGTGTTAGAAAGAAAACTTACATTTCTTTCAAGAGCATAGAAAAAACAGACAAAGCTTATTCGTTCCTGAAAGAACATTGCTCTTCTTTTCTGCCCTGTTCACGTGTCAGTGATCTGATTTGTTTCCTGGAGCTGTGCAGCAGGAGGATGCTGGCCGGCCACCTGTGATATGGAGCTTTAAAGGCTGCCCCAGGCCATTTGTGCCGCTGAAACAGATTTTATAAAAACAGATTTGTTTCCTCACAGATCTTGAGGTTAGAAAGTATGTGGAGAGGGGGGTTTTCTTGTGTCAAAACGTGGCTTAAGGGGCTGGGAAGGTGGCTCAGTGGTAGAGCGCTTGCCTCGCATGCATGAGGCCCTGGGTTCGATTCCTCAGCACCACATAAGCAAAAAGAAAAAAGCCAGAAGTGGCACTGTGACTCAAGTGGTAGAGCGCTAGCCTTGAGCTGAAGAGCTGAGGGACAGCGCCCAGGCCCAGAGTTCAGGCCCCACGACCGGACACCCCCCCCAAAACAAAAACAAAAACGTGGCTTAAGGTGAAGGGCAAGCTTCTCGAACACTCTGGGAGCCCCTTTTATAAGGGGCTTGATCCCCCTCCCAGAAGAGGAGTCCTCCTGGCCCGAGTACCTCTTAGAGGCCCCACCTTTCAATACTGGCACATTGGCAACACCTGAATTTCAGAGGGGACATAGTCACACCACAGCAGAGGCTAGTATTCAGATAACTCTGATCAGAGAGAAAATGCTACTTGGGATTGAGTTAATTCTTACCTTCTTAAGACCACATCTTTCATTCATGTTTGCCTGTTGTTCCTCATCCCTGGAATCCTGAGACAAGTCTCCTCAGGACTATCCAGGGTCCATCCTTAGCTTGGGGGTGCTGAGGCTATATTTGCCAACTGGCCTGACATGAATCTCCTGGATGGGGCAGGGAAGGGTCAGTGGGGAGAACCAGGTGTACTCAGCCACTGGCATGTTTGAAAAATCATAATCTAAACGATTTGAGTCTGGGAAGATTCCCACCTGTTCTGTGTTAAATAATCATGGGTCCATGTACAGGAACACAGCTGGCCACCTGGTTGTTCTAGGGCCGCTCCACCTCTATAGCCTCGAAGGAAACAATTATGATAAAAGCAGGCCTGGCAGCCCTGTACAGGGCCAGGCAGGGGAAATGTTAAGAAGTGGGGGAGGGGTTTCTGTCTGAAACTGAGGTTCAAAATAAGATCAAAGGACCAAAGTCAGCAGTTGTCACTGCACAAAGTTCTTTCACTCAATGCCTGAATTATTGGCAAAGCGACTTTTGCAATTATTAACAAAATCTGTGTTCTTGAGATAGAAGGAATTACCCTAAAATTAGACATAAAATTCATATGTAAAAACCATATGCTTTTTGAACCAGGCACCAGTGGCCCTCACCTGGAATCCTAGCTACTTAGGAGACTAAGATCTGAAGATTGTGCTTCAAAGCCAGCCTAGGCAGGCATGTTCAGGAGACTCTTATCTCCAGTTAACCACCAAAAAGCCATAAGTGGAACAGTGGTTCAGGTGGTAAAGTGCTGGCCTTGAGCAAAAACAGCTCAGGGACAGTGCCCAGGACCTGAGTTCAAGCCACAAGACTAGCACAAAATAAATAATATTTTTTTTAAACCATTCTAAAAACAGAATTTTCCTAGTTGATAGGCAAGTTTCAAACAGAATACAAAGGAGTAGTCTCTAGAAACTTCGTAATATATAAAATAGTAATGTTGCTTTTTATAGCTATATGTAACAAAATTACCTTGCATTAACTTAGGGAGTAATGTTCAAAAAATAGTCCTTGCTTCCTTCCTTCTTTCCTTCCTTCCCTCTCTTCTCTTTTCCTCCCCCCTCCCTCCTTCTTTTTTCCACCTTCAGTACTAGAGGTACTCTGTCATTTGAGCCACTCCACCATGAACCTTTGTGTTGATTATTTTTGAGATAGGATCTCACTTTATGACCAAGACATCCTGAACTCCAGTCCTACTTGTGCTTCCCTTTGTCACTGACCACTGTGCCCGCTATTGTGCTTTCTTCATAGCTTAGGTGCCAGGAATACGTCACTGCACCCAGCCATAAACTCCTGCCTAGGCTGGACAAACTAGGATTACTGGGGTGAACACCATACCCTTCCCAAACATAACACTCTTGTGAAAGGCATTTTGGATGTAGTTCTAATTTAATAAAATATAAACTTTTATTTTTGCTTTGCCTTTGGTTGAAACTTTTTCATCTACTTCAGTCTTTTATTAAAACATTATTCTGAACTCAAGCACTTTTATGAAATGAGTTTCTAGGATATGTCAAATCTGTAGATTTTTCTAATGCATCTGTTCCAGAAATTTAGCGACAGTGGTATGAAAGCATCTTGCACTGAAGAAATCATACCCATGTCCATGTGGTAAGTTTCTCAGGCTGGCAGCATGCTGTCTGCTGTGCCAGGATTTAAATCTGTATGCTTAGTGGAGATTTGTCGGTGAAACTAATTCATTTGCATTCATGCAAATAGTGCTTATAAAATCAATCACTCTACTTGGCCTTGCACATGGATATATTAAAGTACTATACCTCAAAGTAAACAGAACAACTTAAAGCAGGGTATTTCTTTGGCTCATCTCTCCATATTATTCCTCACATAGCTGCTGACCTGAGATGCTTATTCTGGTAGTTTTACATTAAATACAAATGATTTCTCTTTCTAACAAGTCGTTGTTAAGTGGTGCTAAGTAAATTTTTATTGATATCATAAAAGTTTTCTCAAGGGATTGTATTGAAATATTATTAGGAAAAAATGAAGCTGGGGGTGCAGCTCAGTGGTAGAAAACTTGTGTGGCATGTGTGAGGCCCTGGTTCAATCTCAGCAAAGCAAAATAAATGAAAGAAAAAAGAAAATAATAACTTGGGGCCGATGTCAGTAGGCAAGATGACATTCTGCATGGTAGTAACTTTCAGAAGTGACAGGATTACTTCTGCTTTTGTATGTCCTTCTGTTTGTAATGCCCTTTCTGTTTAATTTGTACAATTATTGTTCATGTGTCAAGACCTATCATAGTAGCATGGAAAAAGCAGACCTCTAAGGGCAAGTATAATACCAGTTTCATTAGTTATTTATTACAGCTTCTTCACCTGTAGTCTTGGATGACCTTGAAAAAGTAGCCTGACAAGTATGTCTCCAGTGTTTGCAGATATAAAACTAACATCCTGGGCTGAGAATGTGGCTTAGTGGTGGAGTGCTTGCCTCTAGCATGCATGAAGCCCTGGGTTCCATTCCTTAGTACCACATAAACAGAAAAAGACGGAAGTGGTGCTGTCCCTCAAGTGGTAGAGTGCTAGCCTTGAGTAAAAGAAGCCCAGGGACAGTGCCCAGGCCCTGAGTTCAAGCCTCAGTACTGGCAAAAAAACAAAACAAAACCCTAACATCCTCAATATTCACATGGATCCTCAATATTACATGGATACTGTGTCCATTAAATGAAATAAAAAGCACCAGCCATATATTAATGTAAAGGAAGAGAAGGCATGGAATTACTTTTATCTTGATTTTTATACTACTTGTAACTGCAGCTTGCTATAAACTAGCAAACTTAGACATAAGTTGTTTCCTACTGATGAGCCAGACCTGGAATTCAGGTTGCCCTTGCTTTATTCTTGGTGCCATGTGCTCTATAGCCAGATACAATTGTCAGCAGAATGAAAGCAAGGTATTAGCCAACTGTCAGGAAGGCCCATGGCCTGGCTTTGTCTCTGCCAACCAACTTCTCTTGTAAATCCATCCCTAAGGGTCCACAGCCCAAAGGACTTCTTTAGTAGTAACTTGATCACTAAAGAATATGGACATTAAAAATACTATCAGAGTAGAGAATGCATGCTATGGACAAGAATTATAAGTTGATTACTCAGCATCACTTTAATTATAAATATGGAATTGGGTGTAGTGACACATGCCTGTAATTCCAGCTACTGAGGAGGCAGAGGTGGGAGCATCACACCTTGAAGCAAGTTAGGCAAAAAAAAAGCTTGGGACCCTACCTGAAAGGAAAGGAGGGAAGGAAAGAAGCCAGAGAGGGAAGAAGGGGAGGATACGAGAAAGAAAGGGAAAAAGAAGAGAGGACAAGGGAGGGGTGGGAAGAACTAAAGGGCTAGGGATGCCGCTCGAGTGGGGGAGTGTTTACCTAGGAAGAACAGGCACTGATTTCAATTCTTAGCATTTCCTCCCAAAAAATCCTGATTATAAATAGGATTATAAATGTATATCCTCAAGCTCTAAAAAGATACAAACTGGCAGGTCCTTCTTCCAAAGGAAATGGTGCAAACATCTGATAACAGGTGCTGGAAGGTGGGCATCTTTGTAAGGTCCAGCAGTGCTTTCTTGCTGCCCTGTCTGCTTCTTGGCCTGCTTGCTGTGTGGCTGGTTCCCTCTGGGATTCCTAACACCTCCTGGAAGTGCCTCCTCCTGCTTTCTTCCAAACTGAGGAAAAGTGGCTTCTTGCTCAGGCTTAGCGTGTATTGTCACACTGCTCAAGAGAAGGGGGGCAAGTCCACCCCTACTGCCAGGCAAGGCACATCCACGTGGACGTCTGAGCCACAAACAAGACGGGTGGGCATCTGCACGGATGCCATCCCAGCGCAGTGACCTCCCGATCAACTCTCCTACCAGCGCGCTGCGCCGCTGTGACACTCGCGTCACACCCAGTAAGTCGCCGCCATGGTAACCGTGCCACATGCGTTGTAGCTGTTCTTGCCCTGCTGGTGTGCTCCTCCCTGCTGCGCTCCCAAAGTCAGCAGCGTTGCCTTCCCTCAGCCTGGGCACTCGGCGCTCAGTCCCCACACAGAGGCTGTCCAGGGAACTAAGCATCCTGCACTTGATACAGAGCACAAGATGCAGAGGGGAAGTGCATTCCTTACACCCTGCATATGCTTTTCTGCTGGAAGGTTCATACTTGTTTAAGTTTTTTGGCCAGGCTTTCTACTGGGAGATGCTTCTGTGAAGAATAATAATGTGCTTGTTGTTTCTCAGAGCTTCATCACAGCAAGCTTTTCAAGTAGAACTAAAATTAGTAATGAATGTTAGAAACATTGCCAGTGAGCATATGAAAGAAAGGCATACTCATTCAGCTAATTTTGTGCTACCAGAAAGTGCTCTGCCAGGCCCCCCTGGGAAAATGGGGAGTCAACCATAACATCTACCATTTGCAAGTATACCCTTGAGCCAGTCTCTCCACATGCACCCTCTCATTTGATCCTCCCACGGTGAGATGTAATGTCTTTTAGTAAGCTCATTTTACAAGGAGGAAGTTGGGATTCTGAGGTAAAATACCATCCTAAACAACAATACAAAAGTGAAGGACTTGCAGAACAAGGACTACAAGTCATTTTAGCCTGTGTTCTCTCTGCCCATATTTTTCTCCCCTGCTCCCCTCCCCCCACGTTCCTGCCAGGTGGTCTGTATATAAGAGCCCATGCTCATCTGAGTTTATTGTTTAGTTCTGTGGTTTTCTTCCAAATTGCTCTTGCCATGTTCTTTTGCTTCATGACTGGATTCACTTTATTCTTTAGATTTTTCTTCTTTTTCCTGTTTGAATGAGGAGTCCTATTGGCCACTGCTTTGATACTGAGCTGTGACAACTACTGTCTGTGCTTGAAGCAGTCCTTGTGTCTTCAGATCTCTCTTGGCTTGACATCAAAGCTGATGAAGGTTACTGGTGACGATACAACCTTTTTAGTATGCAAATTTGTAATAACACAGATGACTTTATATCAGCATAATGGAGTTCTTAACTTCATTTTTATCACTGTTCAGTACATCAAGCTGGAAACTGGAATATTTTAATGTGCAAGAGTGACT